ATCATAAACGTATTTCTTGCCCATCAAGCATCAATTCTGAATAAATTAACTTTAATATTTACTGATTTATCGAAGATTTCGTATTTCTCCAAATCACCGTTATATGGGATGTGGGCGTGGTTTTTGTCCGATTTTAAAAATTTTCCCCATTTGGTATGCTGTAGCAAGGCTAACTGTGCCAACTTTGGAATAAATTGGTAGAGCGGTTACCAAGATATAAACATGTAGCAATAAGTGGGCGTGGCTACGCCCATTTTCCAAAAAAATTATAATATTCTTAGTTTTCGTTTAAAAGTTATTGTAAATATCAATTTTGAGTGAATAATCTTTAGTAGTTATTAAAATATCGCAGCTTTCGTATTTCTGAAAATTACCGTTATATGGGAGGTAGGCGTGGTTATTGTCCGATTTTGCCCATGTTCAATATCATCAGTCCTACGTCCGAAAGAAGTGCACGTACAAAGTTTCGTTAAGATACATATGCTATACAAATCGCACGTTTAATAAAATACTGAATTATTTCCGAATTTCAATTTTGTGGGAAAAGGCAGTCAAAGTTTGATCAATTCATACAGTTGGTATACAGAAACACAGATGGAAAGTGTAGTGATATGTTAGGCTGAACATATCCTCCTTATCAAGCTTATTAATTGTATGATGAAATCTCCAAAAGCGTAAATTTTGAATTATTATATATTATTAAACGGGCAATATGTACGTAAGTGCCTGTATGTGTGTACATTGGGGTGGTCCAAAAACAGTAAAGTCGGAATTGTAATGCTCTCACCCCCTATGATTGTTCTATATCGAAAAAAAGTATACCCCTATTTTTTATTTTGAAATAAAAAAATATTTTGAGGTCGCTCAAAGCGCTCAAAGTTTTGCATGTATTTTTATATTGGGAAAAAAAAAGCTTTTCGTAGAAATGGTATAGAATTCTTGAAAATCAATGTTTTTCGATCGGAAAACTCTGGTTCTCTTCAGGAGCCTTTCAATAATAATACCCAATTATTTATTTAACCATTTTTTAATACTAACGATTGTAACGATGATAGGGGTATAGAACAATCCTAGGGGGTGCGAGCATAAAAAGTCCGACTTTACTTTTTAACATGCATTATTGGACCACCCTAGTGCACATATATGTGCAAGCTCTTTGTCATTGACGTAGCTAGCATGGGTTGCACCCGTGCGGATATTCAGGTGTCACCCTAATGCAAATATGATTTTTATTTAATACAAATAAGAGTCATTACTAATAAGTAAAAATATTATAATATCAATCGTACTGTTTTATGTCCATACTACACTCTAAAAAAAAATTTTGTAGATTTCCTAGCTAAAAGGTAGGTTACTGATTTCCTACCTTATTATTCGCGAAATTACATGCTCGATTATTCAACGAATAGTTTGTTTAAATTTCGGACTTTTTAGAGTGTAATATAGCTGCTGTGGTGTGCGTAAATTCATTACGAAAGTGTGTACAAGCTACAAAATACACATCTGCTGTTTTATTTCACCCGTAGAATTGCGTAAAGCCGCTAACAAAAAGGATTTTAACACACGACAACGAGAAATATACATATTCGTCGTGTAAGTTTACCAAAGAATTTTAAAAATAAACAAAAATATACTCGACTTATAGTCGCAATTTTAAACAGATTTTTTAGAGTGTAGGGATGTTGCGAATGCGGTATTTTAGACATCCGCGGATGCGAATGCGGATGCGGATGTTTAAAAGCTAACTTCCGCGGATGCGGATGCGAATGCGGATGTCATGTATTTTTAAGAAATAATTTAGGTGGGTAAATTAGGTGATTTAGGTAAATAAAAAATGGAAAGGTTAATAATTTTTAATAATCTGCCTTATTCTGAGTTTTGCCCGAAAAAAAATTCACCCGAAAATTTGTATTCCGACCATAGTAAATATGTACATGAAAACCAAAAGTGAAAAGTGAACCGGTTCGGGGAAAATTAAACTCATGATAAGACTGAATGTTTTTTTTAGTACTTTAATTTAAAAATTGGAACATTGTACTTAATAAAAACTTTTTGAAGGGTCGTAAATCAAACCTGCGCTACTATACAACTACTCGCTCGAGGCGACAAACTTGAAAAACTGGAGACTTGACAAAATTGTAAATTCTTTTCGACTGACACTGCAGGAGAGGACTTTCAGTTATATTTATTTATTTTTATTGCGGTGCAATAATTACTTTTTGAGAATTTCATCGGGGCTGCAAATGTCGGATGTATCCTCCTGACTTTCCTCTTTACAATCTAACATCATGGCACAATCGTTGTTTAAACACCGTTTTTTTCGAAAGAATTCTTCATTCTCGTCCTTTTGGTTTGTTTCAGAATTTGTCACGTCATCAGCGTTTCTCGATTTTAGTTTTGATTACTAATTTTTAATGCTTTCTTCTGTGACTGGTTAGATATACGTCTGTGCACTTGCACAATATTCAAGGGACCGAAAATAACAGTTATTTTTTTATACCCGAGCGCACTTGTGCACAAGGGTATTATAACTTTGTTCACATAACGGTTGTTTGTAACAGGCAAAACGAATCGAGATAGATATAGACAAATGTATACATAAATGATCAGAATGAAAAGAGAAATCGATTAAGCGGTGACTGTCTGTCCGTCCGTCCGTCCGTCCGTCTGTGCACACGATAACTCGAGTAAAAATTGAGATATCTTAACGAAACTTGGTACGTGAACTTCTTTTGGGCGTAGGACGGATGGTATTGAAAATGGGCGAAATCGGACAATAACCACGCCTACCTCCCATATAACGGTAATTTTAAGAAATACGAAATCTGCGATATTTTTTGTAACTACTGAAGATAATTCACTCAAAATTGATACTTACAATGAGTTTCAGACGGAAAACATGAATTTTATAAATTTTTGGAAAATGGGCGTAGCCACGCCCACTTATGGTTACATGTGTATAGCTTGGTAACCGCTACACCAATTTCTTCCAAACTTGGCACAGTTGTTGGTCCTGGTACAGCATACCAAATGGCCGAAAATTTCTAAAATCGGACAATAACCACGCCCACATCCCATATAACGGTAATTTCGAGAAATACAAAATCTTCGATAAATCAGAAAATATTGAAGCTAATTTATTCAAAATTGATGGTTGCAACAATTCTTTACCAAGAAATACGTTTATGACAAAATTTTGGAAAATGGGCGTAGCACCGCCCACTTGTGATCACATACATATATGTATCTCGCTAACCGTTATAGCAAGCTCGGTATGGTTATTGTGCTTGCCACATAAAAGCAAACCGTTGAAAATTGTTGAAATCGGACTAAAATTGAGGCCGCTTTTCATATAACGGTAAATTTCAGAAATGCTTGAAATTTCAATATTTCGAAATTTAAGGACACCAATTTACTTAAAATGTAGCGGTAGGTTACGGAAAGGTGAAGTATATTTAATACTTGCGCCGGGTATTTAATGTTCGGCTCCGCCCGAACTTAGACTTTCTTACTTGTTCCGAGTTAAATTTGGCCGTCGGCCGCTGTGGTGTAGTGGTAAGCAGTGCGCGCTTCCACTCCGCAGCACCAGGGTTCAAACCCTGGTCAAAGCAACATCGCAAAAATAAAGAAAAAAAAAGTTTTTTCTTAACAGCGGTCGTCCCTCGGCAGGCAATGGCAAACCTCCGAGTGTATTTCTGCCATGAAAAACAGCTTCTCACAAAAAATACAATCGCCGTTCGGAGTCGGCGTAAAACTGTAGGTACCTTCGCTTTGTGTGACAACATCAAGGCGCACGCCACAAATCGGAGGAGAAGCTCGGCCAAACACTATCTATTATTATTATTATTATTAAATTTGGCCTAATATTTTTTATTAAGAAATAAACGTCCTACCCAGATAATAAAGAAACCGCTTATCCAAATTAAACAAATTTGGTATCATATGAAATAGGACTGAAATAGCTTTTAAACAGAAATAACGAATGAAGGTTACCACCTCTATTTATATATTTTTATAACTTAATACTAAAGAAATTCATGTAAATATATGACCCAATGTTTGTTCTATGGTAATTAATTACCATTTTTTATTGAAATATTTTTCAATGAGTGGCTTTCGTCTTTTAGATATTTCAGTTTTAATTCAAGCCCTCTTTCATTAGATACCAAACTTTTTTAATTTGGAAAGCGGTTTGTTTATTATCCGGAAAGTACTTTTATTTCGGAATAAAAAATACTTGGCACAGTTTAAATCATAAAAAAATAACTGTAATTTTCGGCCCCTTTAATATTCGCATTCGCAAAAGATCCGCATTGATTTTTGCGAATGCGAATGTTAA